TCCAAACATGTGTCATTGTCGAAATCACCAGCGGCAACAGATCGTGGACCATACTTGTATTCAACTGGTTTTTGAGCCGTTGATTTGAATTTGAGCCCACATTTTTGAACTAAACAACAGATGAAAAGCAGTGTGATGACTGATTGGTTGCTCAAGTGCGACTATCACTGTTTGATCGTATTGGATCCTTACAAGTTTTATAGTATGCTGTCAGAAATTGTCGTATTACTGTATTTGTACGCAACTCAAAATCAATCATCTTTCATTAGAATTCTACTTAGTTTCTTGAAATTCAGATAGAGCTAGATATATGCGACTATATCATGCAAGTTAATTTTCTATTTCCTTTCTTCGATTTACTCTAGAATTTGTTCAAAAAGTGCGTCATCTTTGAGAACAAAGACGAACATCAACGAATACAATATGACTGAAAAGTGTAAGACTGCGCCAAACTGCATGATTAAATGTAATCGCTTCCACATTTTATAATCTCTTTTTCTAGCATTTACTTTGCTAAAAGTTTGATATAAAAGATGAAAGTTTCATATTTTTACATGCTCAAACGGTTATCAAATTTATTGTGTTAAGTAATACTTTCAGAGGTTCTATTAGTATTTTGAATTAATGATTATATTAAGAAATAGAATATAAAAATAGACAAAACTATGAGGATAGAGAAAGAGATGTAAATCTACTGGTCAAGTAATCATACACGAATAGTACAATATACAAGCGAAGAGGAAGAGATAGATGATGCACTAGGTGATGATCTTCGTTGTAAATGTAGATGTCAGTGGTTCGATGATAAGAGCAACGAATAGTGATCGATAATTTTTGTGTGACACATGCGCAATTATTTAGTTGAACTTTTTTTTTTCTTACAATTACAAAACTATGGCTTCGATCGACGTATTCCATCAGAAACGCTCGTACGTGTTATTTTGAGATTTTGATTATATATTCTCCATGTAATCTTATTTTATCTATAGAAAGTGGCTGACATAGTAATAAAAAAGAACATACCAGTAGCTTTTGGTGAAGTGAAACAAACAGTCAATATACCAACACTCATTGCTATAATTGTGAATGCAGCAAATGCACCTGCAGCAATTGAAGATCGATGTTGCGACCAAGGCGAAAATTCTCTAATAAAGACATTCTATACATTATTATGACTGAACACAAAAGAAAATTATATACAAAGGTGTCGGAGTCATTGATGACTTCTTTGTTGCATTAGTAGCAGTGGCACATTCTGCTAAATTAAATTCATTTTGCGTTGAGTTTTCACATTGCTCATTGTCAACATGAGGATGTTGTGCAGCAGATGAATTCTCAACTGAGATAGCATCATCACTCGTAGAATTTTTATCCATCTATAGTAAAAAAAAACAGTATTTAGTAAAAGATAGTTTTCAGTAAGTATTCATTGTTCACTAGAATACTTTTCTATAAATTACCTTTCGAGTTATCGATAATGTCCTTTCTATGCTGAAAAGTTGCAAAGTCTTGAGAAATTAGAAAATATCTAAAATAACAGAATTAATTACATTAGTAATCATAATTTAGAATATGAAATGGTTACATGTTTGTTTTCTTTTGAAAAAATTGCTTCTTTCTTGGATATGGATAGTCTCTTAATGAACACCAAAATAATCAGGCTATGTCAAACAAGGACAATGCTTCAAAAAGTTTCGATCTTATTCAAAAGCAACACATAGACAGGTATTAGAAACATGAACATAGAACACAGTGTGAGCCAGTACTCAATGAGGTATGCTTTCACAAAAGTTCTTTCTTTGTGTCAGGTTGACTCAATGTACTGAACTCTATTTGTTAATACATGTTTTTGCTTGCAACTCGTTAGTTTAAACATTTGTAAACATTCCATTGGTAACGTTTTCCTGATTGATATGTCTTGTTTGTTGATAGCTTTGGTTTCGAAATCTTTTTAGTCAGTGAAAATATACTTTATTCATTAAACGATACATTCTGTTGTTGAGTATGATTTAGACGTGTCTACCAATGAATTTTAATTATTTTTTGAAAGTATTTAATTATTTCTATAAGGTATTTTGTCAATTGAATTATTATCGATCGAAGGCTCGGAAAGGTTTTTCATTTCATTCAATCAACTATACATAACTCTAGTGATTGGACTAAGATAATCGTGATTATGATAGAATTCAAGCTGCAGATGTGATGACTATCTAAAACCTTATTCTAGTTAGGGCATACCAAAAGTAGTGGCGGTTTCATCGCAATTTCGTATAGACGGCTTGAGAAAATTTTCTTTTTATATAGACTAATAGTCAAAACAAAGCTCTACATTTCTACACTATTTGATCATTATTCATCCAATATTGTAATAATAAAACTTTTATTAGAATCGTTCAGCTACAATATGTAACAATAACAGTAAGAGGAAAATAGCAGAGGAATATTTTTAGAAGAACTTTTGATAGAAACAAGTAACGCTCGTTCATGTGACACGCTGGACCCTCGACTGTATATTCGGTCCTTTGGTATTTTATATTATTTTACAGTATTCAAAACAGCTAGTATCCAACGTGTCAAAAGAATGGATGGATGTGTGTGTTGATATTAGCGTCAATCTTGTTGTGCATAATAGTATGGGGGTCCAAATGAACATTTTTGCCACAAATATATCTAATCAAATCGATATCCCCATATTTATACTCAACAATAGTCTAAGGAACTACATTATGGCAGCGATATCCACATCCACCCAAAAAACAGATTATATTCAATTTTCTGAGAGGTCACGAAGCAAAACGCATTCACGACACTATTGTGGAACAGCGCCATACTGCTTGAAATTTCTACTAGAAAACTGTTGGCTTACCAAAACATCAGTCAACAATATTTTTTATTGGGATATGTGCTACAAAAATACGGGTTCAATTGAACTCCTAGCTTAAAATTAATCATACTAGATCTAGTCTTCAATCGAACTGCCATACTTGAAAGAAGCTCATACTCAAAGTGACCGTCAGATTAGATAGATAATTTGAATATATCTGTATACATTTCAACATTTGAACGAGTACAGACAAGAACACATACCAGCAGAAAAATTCCCGTTTATTTCATTTATATCTGCTTCTGATACCATGAATATAAAATCTGTGACTGATGTTTTCCGCCAAATGTAGTATTAAAATATTGTGCACGTGCATAAAAAGCGTTGTCACACTTTATTTCAAAATATTTGTCAGTTCTTACCAGAGGTCGAATCGAACCGAGTTTTTCTAGATCGGGTTCGGTTCGGTTCGGATTCACATTTGAAAAATAGGTTCGAGTTCGGTTCGGTTCGAGTTTATTTTTGAAAACACGGTTCGTGTTCGGTTCGGTTCGGATTCATTTTTCAAAAACCAGTTCGGGTTCGGTTCGGTTCGACCTCCTTTTCGAGCAAGTGGTTCGAGTTCGGTTCGGTTCGGCTCGTCTTTAAAAAAATCAGTTCGGTTGCGGTTCGACTGGAGTAGTATTACTATCATTTAATCAAGACTAGATCAGAAGTCAAAACTTAGTGATCCGATGATCAAAAATGTCACATGAGGGTTCATATTCGTATCAATTACTACTAATAGATACATTTGTAGATTAAAATTATATGTTAACATTGATATACAAGAATCATAGATGCTTTAGTGCTAATACTAATCTCATACCATTACGGACGATCATTCATCTCACTTTAGAACAATGGAGAAATTTATAAAAGAAAAATCAAATAATTATGGCACGTAGAAGCGATTTATCATCATAAACACAATTTGTGTAACTATAAAACTGAGAGAAAAAAAGAGACTGCAATATACGGATATTAAATTAACCACGTAAAACAATCGATAAATGTTCGTTTTTATCTTTGTCCACGGCATTATACTTTTCTAAATCAATGATAGTTTAATTACTTTTTTGTGATCTGACATTAAACTGTCATCAACTGTTCTTTTTTCAAAACTTCAGGTTCGGTTCGGTTCGTCTTCATTTTTGAAAAAGTGGTTCGAGTTCGGTTCGGTTCGACTCCATTTTTTAAAAGTCAGTTCGGGTTCGGTTCGGTTCGACTTTATTTCCAAAAAGTCGGTTCGAGTTCGGTTCGGATCGATTCGAACCGAACCGAACCGTTATAGTTCGGTTCGGATCGGTTCGTTTTCGACCTCTGGTTCTTACCAACTGCTAGTCCTTATTCAAACCCATTAGGTCTAGACTGTTGATTTTTGTTTGATGAATACAAACAGCCTGAAGTGTGTCTTCAAGAGATTTTTTAGTGCACCGGCTAGTCGTTCGTCGGAAACCCTTCGAGACACTACTCATGGCTAGTCACTATTGTGTTTCATTCTATTTCTCCATAACGCCATCCTTTTTTTATTTAGACTTCATCTAATCTTAAATTCGGCTTAATTTGACAAGCTATTTGATCTGTAGCACGAGAATTCTCAATGGCAATTTCTAAACCAAAGCATCATTGTAAACTATTTCTGATTTCTTCAATTTCATTCTGTAACTGGAAAATCAGAGTTTTATTGAAATTTCTTATTAAGGAAATATTAGTGAGCATTCACAAAGAAATCTAGCTTTTAAACTTATTTTTCATGAGCGAAATCTGTAGAATGGTTGCAATATGAACCATTAGTCGTTCGTTTTACATAAGTGCACTTATCCAAACAGTTTGTTTATTTTTATTTAGCATAAAAGATATGACATCATTTTTATACGTCAAATTTTTATTACTTTCTTCGAGTTATCGCAACTGGAAATTTCACAAGTTGGAGATCCTCCAAACATACACAAGGTTAAAAAATTGGTTTTTTACATGAGTTGCCTAATTCGAATTCGAATATAAATGGAGACGTCACTGCTTATGGTTACTTCGAAAATAAATGAAAAAAACGCCTTCCCTGTTGAAATAGCAAAAAAGAAAAAGAAATAATTTTATATAAATTATGAATTTATAAATTTATAAATGAAAAGGCACACTCATGTTGAAATAGTAAAAAAGCAAAAGAAATAATTTTATATAAATTATAAATTTATAAACGAAAAGGCACACCCATGTTGGAATGACAAAAAAGCAAAAGAAATAATTTTATATAAATTATAAATTTATAAATGAAAAAAGGCACACTCATGTTGAAATAGCTAAAAAGCAACAGAAATCATTTTATCTGAATTATAAATTTATATATAAAAAGGCATACGCATCGTGTAACAGTCGAAAAGGAAAGTATTTATTTTGCATAACTCAATCACGTATGAGCGAAGAACGCATTAAGACAAAATTTGCCACATCTAACTAATCTTATTGCTAGGCTAATATTTGGATAGATGAAAATGAAGGAAGGATTCCTCTCAGTGGAAACTAAATAGGTTTAATGTCGTCAGTGAGATGTGAAGTTCCAATCTACGATTGAAATTCGATATCCGTGATCTAATAAAAAATCTTGTCTATGGTGGCCGCCGGAATATTGTCTTTTATTTTACAACCCAACCATCTCATATCCTATAGCTTACGATTACGAATCACCGATGCGCATTCAGAGCTCGATAGCTAGCAGAGTAACAGTATTCGTAGGTGCAGAAATGAGTGAAACTCCACTACTCTAAGAGCTTCAATTCAGTACGTGTATCCGGCACTTGCCTTGCATCAGAAGAAAATATCCGGCAAAAGTCTCCTCAAGTGAAAACAACAGCTAGCAAGATCAGCAGAAATTACTTCGACAGTTACTAAATAGTACACTGAGAAGACAACCAACCATTTTCAACTTAAGCATCATGCAAAAACTGATCTAACTGTCACAGACTATCTATGGAACATTTTAGTGGTTCTGGTGCAGTATTCATACAAGAAACACGTCTGCGCATTATCAGCCCTGTCAAAGGGTACACGCACACCTTTATTTAAGCCTTGGCGCGTGGTGGACCGAAGGACCACCCGAAGAGCGCCGAGAGACTACTTCTGTGCCAACACAGATTAGAGACTCCTCCATTGGTACTATCAGCGGACGTACACAAATCATTTCTTTTGCTTTTTTGCTATTTCAACATGGGTGTGCCTTTGCATTTATAAATTTATAATTTATACAAAATTATTTTTTTTTGTTGCTTAAACGGGTGTGTATAGTTGGATAAAGTTTTGCTTTTGCTTTTTGCCTGTCAGAACATGGAAGCCGTTTTTTTCATTTATATTCGAACTCGAATTAGACAGCTACTCGTTTTTTATAATAATAATAATAATAAAAAACAATCTATTGACATATCCCAGTTTAAGACCCTGCCCCATCTGTGTATAGATTTCCTTAGAACATAGATATAACTATATGAAAGAAGTGGGAGAAATACGCTTTCAACATCAGTTCTATTGGAAAATTGTTAGAATATCTAGCCGCTTTTTATCCATTTCCTCTATCGTTTCAAAAGATAGTGTTGTCTCTCTTTGAACTACATGGCTTTTATTATGTTTTTAAAAACTGCCAAGATACGAAGATTTGGCATGGGAAGCACATCTTAGTGGAATCACAATGGTATCTTTATAACAAATACGTAAAACTTCACGGCGCGAATCACTTCGATCGTTTAGAGTTGTGAAGAGTGTTGTCGAAGTGTTCCTAGTATGCTTGTCTTCGCAATTTTCCAAGGCATTCTAATAGTTACTTATGCACAACAAATAGCTCTGGTGTCTCTTCGAATCATAGAACTCTGGTTCAAATCACCAAGGTTTTTTTTATAACTATCGAATAATCAGAACAGATTTCAGTAGCATATTAATTGCTATTCTTTTCATTAAATTCATGAATAGTCGCAAACGGTCTGTGTTAACGAGAAAAAAGTCACTAACTTCATTACTATTTTCATAATAGTGGCAAAATTTGCCAATATTCACTTTCATTTTCTTCTTTTCATACGTCTAGACACAATCTAAAGCTCACATAAACTATGCTTAATTACTGATATCATTTAAGGATAGAAATATCTTCTGAACACTGATAGACTAAAAGGGCTTACGAGAGATACTGCAATATCAAAAGACTTACGTCTGCTTGTTGTATTAATGTGATGTATATTGTAAAGACGAATGTAATACGTTGATAATGTAATGTATCGACGTTGTTTAGTAAAGAAAATGAAAGCATCATTTTGCTTATGTATACTTCGAAAATACGTTTGGCGTGCGTGCATCCAACCGTATACGTGGGATAAAGCATGATCATATATTATTGAGACACCCTGGATTTTTTCTCACAAAAATGTTATCATTCTTTTGCTTGTTCTATCACCTATCGATCAGACAGCTTGAATAATGAAGAAAGAGAGAGAGAACGAGTTAATCGATGGTTGGAAACATGTGCATTATATCACGGCTTTATTTTTATTTTTCTACCTATCTTTGCATAGGATAGGTAAAATATACAGGCTTTACAAGCAATAATATGCAGCTTTATATCATTGATCACGTTAAAACCGAGTTCAATGGTCCCTTCTGCCTACGAGAGAAGATATTGGTATTACCTGCCACTTTTAGAAGCATTTCTTGTCTATACACATATTCCTCATCAAAAATCGACATTTGGATGAAGTCTTGCCCTTAGGATCGTTTCTGATCCTCACAGAACCTGGGAAGTCACTTTCAACAGCTGCCTTGGCTAACATCGTCGTGTGTATCCTTGCTTTGATTCAGATTCCTTTTCCAGTCGTTATATTCGTTTAAGTTGCAGTTCCACTCATCATTCTGCTACCTATCTCGGTGGCAAGTCAACTTCAACCTTGATATCAAGATCTATCACACTGGTTCTGTTTAGCAGTGGTTCTATCAAGCCAAACCTCTCGTTCAGCTATTACTCATGGTTCTGTACCATCCCAAAGTTTTTCATGGAGCAATACTCATTTTTATAACAGTTGTGTACGATTTTTGTCCTCAGTTGGCATCTTGGCAGTAGAGTGTACTCTCAGTTTGATCATGTTCTTTATTAGGGTGGCAGCTTCGAACTTAACTACAATACTCATTGCAGACGTGCCTTGGTACCACCGCTTTCGGCAGGCTTTGGTAACTGTATCCGATAGTTCTTCAAGTTTCTGTAAGAATCGTTTCAGACGCTTGCGATCCTTTTTTAGCACGAATTCTATCTTACATATGAACGTTCACAACTGATAAGCACCACTCGCGTCCGTACTTTGTTGGCGGTTGTAGTGCCACTTTTTCTGTTTTATTTCTGTTTTTTTGTCATACGTTAACTAGGACATGCATTTTTCTACTGAAAATTTGATCACTAACTTATCTTTTTTGGATCATTGACCCTTAAATTTTTAGTCAAATCTGGCTTCGTGTCCGATAAAGATACAATATTGTATTTCCAATTTTTTTATAGACACTTTTATTGTTTTCAACGTCAAGCCCAATGAAGATTGCTATGGTCTTCTTTAATTTCCTGAAGAGGAAAAAAACTATTAAAATGAAAAAACAGTTATAGTATTTTTCTTTTCAAAAATAACTGGAAAAGTATACAAACACAACAAGTGAAGTAAGCTTGTCAGCGCAGCTCTTTTGGAGCTAAAATGTAGAACTCACATATGTGCTTCCGAGTTGTTCTCTTAATGCATTATCTGTAAACTCAAAAATAGTTTTTTTACGAATAATTATGAATGCATTAGAAAATTGTATAGAATCTGAAGCGTTTTGTGTGCGGTTGCTGAGGTCTGTAATGGTGGCCTGTCTGTAAAGGGGGATGTTTGTAACAGGAGTATGTCTGTAGTATTCTCTTCCCCGTTGTTATGTGTCTGTAATGGGATGGGGAGAGGGGGAGCCGGAAAACTTTGACCTTAAAACTTACACTCAGTATTTTCTTCGAAAATATACGTGAATTCCACAATAAAATAAACGCTCTAGGGAAGGTAGTGAGTAATGTGTTATATGATTGATATTTTTAAAAATAAGTGCATGAAACAAAGCTTCAACATCCAAATCAAAAATTTTAAAAGATAGTAGGATACAACAAGAGAGTTCTGTTCCATGAGGCGTAAAGAATAATACTTTTTATGACGACAATGCGTAACATGTTGTTTGTTTCTGATAAAAGAATAATTAGCAAACTTCGGTTTTGTCTCGTTTGCAAACAAAAGCAGATTCAACTCAGAATTTATGGATGGATAGCCATATACAAGATAATTTAGTCATTAAGTTTTAAAAGGCAAAAGAAATATTTCCTAGCTTAAATAAGAGACGATAAGCAATTATTCACAAGTAACGCTCGTCGCTTCAATTTGCTTAGCCCTCGACTGAATAGTTAAATTTTTTTACATATCATTTTATTTTATTTCTCTGAGATAACTGGTGGTAACATCAGATGTAACTGAGTATACGTGTTACAATATTATGATCTTAATCTGTAATAGTATAGGTAATTTAGAATTCTAATTATTCTCAGTATTAAAATCGCCATTTTTCTCGACTGCTTATAGAGCCAAGCATTTTCAAAAATAGTGTCGTGGAATTCTCTCTTGTGGAGCACAATGGTTAGAAAAATGTATTTACTTGTTTCATGGCTGATAGTGTGAGCAAAGATTAATCTTTTAATGAAAATTTATCAAGAAAAATAAATGGTAACAGTCTAGAATGTCCTTGCAAAAATGTCTTTCACGAAATGTCCTCTGACTTTTCGTCCTCAGGAAAAAATGTCTCTGATATTTCGTCCTTGGAAAAACGTCCTTCAGATTAAATGTCCTCAAGACTAAATGTCTTTGCGAAAATGGTCCCTTATGTGAAAATGTCCTTCAATCTCAGTTGTTTTTTTTTGTGGATATAACATTATTTGAGCGTAGATGACGCTGTAGTCCAAACATAGTTCGATAGATAATTACGTTATTTTATAGAGAGGACGTATTTCTACGGGAATGAATGGAATAAGAACGAAAAATTATCGAACTATGATTGATTGTACCTATATCATATTTTATAAATAATCAAACGAAACAACATTTTCAAATGACATCACAAGCCATAATGATGACTGATGAGACATCATCTTTATCCTCTTCTTCAACTGAATCTTCATCATCATCATCATCATCATCATCATCATCATCATCATCATCATTTTCTTCATATTCGACTGAATCATCATTATCATCATCCTCATCTTCAACTGAATGTTCACCATCATCCTTGAGTTCAGCAAAACCTGTAATTACGAAAACAACATCAAATAAACGAAAATTAATGTTAGGTATAGATGGTTACAATTTTCAATTTAAAAATTTTAATAAAAAAAAACTTTGAAGTTTTGGCGGTGTGCTAATAGAAGTTGTGGTGTGCTCTTGCATACAACTCTTGATGATGAATTTTTATGTTATTCTGGAAAAGTAACTAATCATTCTCATTTACCAAATCCAGCTGAATTAGAAGTCCGAAATTTGAGAGAAAAAATGCGACAAAGAGCTGAAAGCGAAATTTTACCATTACAAATAATCGCTGAACAAGAAATGCGGAATGCTTTGCTAACAGCTGAAGCGCTTGCTGTTTTACCTGGTGTAACTAATATTGGTATAATATTAATATTTTTATACCATGTTAATATTCTTGTCTATTTTTTTTATTTATGTTTGTCTTAGGTCATAATTTAGTACATAATCGTCGTAAAATGATTCCTCCAATTCCACAATCATCTTCTTTTCTCATTCCGGATTTATACACAGAAGATTATCATAATAAAGAACGTTTATTATTACATGATAGTGATGATCCAAAATTTCAAATCAATGTATCTGGAGATGTTCGATCTGCAGGAAGATTATTAGTATGGTCAACAGATGTTCAACTTAATTTATTATTTGATAGTCAAAAATTACACATGGATGGTACATTTTGTACTGCACCACCAAACTTCGACCAGGTGTTTATTATTCAAGCTATTTTTCATGGAACATGTAAGCTATCTCTATGTGATGAAATATTTAAACTTTTAAATTTGTTACATGCTAATGTAATATTTTTTATTGTAATAGGTGTGCCGGTAGTGTATGCACTTCCTCCCGCTCGTAAAACAACAACATATATTCATTTATTTCATATTTTATTTTCTGAAGCAAAAAGATTCAATAAAAAATTTGATCCTCTTCTGATTATGACAGATTTTGAACCAGGAATTGCTAAAGCGATTCGTCTCGAGGTACAATTATCTTTGAAATTTTTATCAAAACTTTCTGATTAAACTCTACATATTTTTAATTTTATAGTTCACAGAAAAAACTGTCCAGAAAAGATGCTTTTTCCATTTTTCACAAGCTGTATATAAAAATGTTCAATCACTTGGTTTATCGTCAACTTATTTAGATAATATTATGATACGTAGTGTTATTAGACAAATTATGGCACTAGCTTTAGTACCTGAACAATATGCTCCATAATTATTTGCAAATCTCGGACAAGAGTTAAATGATTCTGAACGTGATGAATTAAGTAATTTATTCAAATATTTTAATGATTATTGGATGCGACAAATATCTGTATGGAATGTGTTCGACATCTCCGAAAAAACTAATAATTTTAGCGAAGGTATAGGAAGCAGTATGCTAGATATAATTTGTAGCTAAAACTCGTATATCTTTAGGATATAACCATAGGTTTAAAAGACGTTTAAATAAAACTCATCCTAATATATGAATGTTTATTGACTCACTCCGAAAAGAAGTTAATACAATTCACGATTTAATTATTCAAATAAATAGTGGAATGGGTCCTCGTACAAAACGAATCAAGTTTCGAATTGCTGAACAACGAACTAAAGAATTATATAATCGATTCAATAATAACCAAATTAAGGTGGAATAATTATTACGTGGACTTTCTCTTTTTGTTGTAGATGCGAAATAAAACAAGTAACGTTCGTCGGTACGACTCACTTGACCCTCGACTGAA